ATGCAACAGTGGTCTTTAAAGTCCTTATGTCCTTGAGCTTATGGCATAGTTGACATATTGAAGAGAGAGAGGAAAGCACTTCTTTCAAGAAAATTACCATATAAGGAAATTAAATAGTTTGTTTTTAAGTTAATAAATTTTTAAATATATCTATAATTCTGAAAAGTATTAAACTGATATTAAATTAATATCAAAATAATATTAATTTATAGTAAATTTAATATATAAATTATAATATATTTATATAAATTAATAATAAATGTAAATATTAAACTGATATTGAAATGATATTTTTAAAAATTTTAAATATATATATATATTAAATATTAAAAGAAAACTAATATATAAATAATTTTATTTAAATAAAAATATAAATTAATTGTTTAAGACCTATAGGTCTATAGCACAGTAGTAATGCTCTATAAGTCACTAGAAAAAGGTTTAGAATTCAAACCTATCTGGTTACAAAAATTTATTACTTTCATAATTGGTTAACTGGCTTCCAATTTATGTTATATCTAATTAGGGCTCCTAATGATACTACTTCTATATCAATTCGATACTTAAATTTATTATAAAAACATATGAGTAGGTAACAATCCATATATTAAATTTACTATAGATCAGTACTATTTCAATACCAGTTTGATACTTTTTCAGAGTCCTATACCTAATCAATTAATAATCAATTTCCAAATTTAGTTAGGCTGTATGAAGATAGGACTTCTGGTCTTCCCAATAATTACGAGCTAAAAACAGGTCAAAGCAAGGAAGGTTGCACAAGAAAAGACTTTTGATTTAACTTTGAATAAACTTACAAAAACTATGGTTCCAAAAATTGGAATTGAACAGAATCATAGGAAATTATATGAGATTTGAAACACTATTAAAAATAATGGTAAGGTATAACCCACTTATTAAATTTAATATAAATTTGAGAATCAAATACAGAATTGAAAAGAATCATTAGGATTCTTAACAAAAACTCTAACCCAAACTGGCAATGGCAGACTTTATTACATATAAAATATCCTAATCTAAGGCTATTTCAATTTGATGCTTGCTTAAAAGAAAATTATATCTCAAATATATACTTGATATAATTGGAAGCCACAGGTGGTAACAAAGAGTGACTTATCTTCTTTGAGATTTTGAACAAAAAAATATATATGGGATATCTAGATGTTTTACAAAAATACTTTGAAAGATAATAATTGCACCTCTCCCATAACAGATATAGTCAAGACAGGATCTAGATTAGGTTAGATAGTTTAAAACTAGTAATAGGATTTCTATTTTTTAAAGATCCCACCCAGGATGCAAATTCACTTCTGTGATATCAATTGATATACTGGATAAGTCTATAGATATAGAGTGAGGTTAATTTAAATGGACCTTAGTGTATATGTAATTGGATGTAAATAATTCAATAAAATGCACATGTACAAAGTATTTTTTACTGGAAAAAAAAATTAATTAATTGTTTAAAAAAAAAACCATTAGTTTTATTTATATTTTTTTGATTATATAATTATAAAAATCCAGATAACAATTTAAAATTCAAATATTGTATTATTTTTTTTAGTTGTTAACTTTTATTTACTATTTTTTTTTTAAAAAAAAACCAAAAATTTTACTTAAAAATATTTACAAAAATTTTGATTTTATTTTTGAAAAATTACTCTTATATGGATTCTTAAAGTTATATATATATTATCTGCAATTTAACAGGCTATAATTAATTTATCTTGTAAATATCATCTAACTTCTCATATGTCAAAAAAAATAAATAGATAAAATTTAACACATTGTTAAAATATAAAAAAGACCTTTAATATTATTGATCCAACTTGGGACTATAAGGTAATTAACCTAAAAGTATGCATTAAAAAAGGTGCGCATTTAGAGAAGGTATATTAAAGAAGGTTTTCTGTATTTACAATATACAGTATATATCATACAATATATATGAATATTTTATAAATTTTTATGTTAGATTTATTTAATTATACTGTATATAATTTTATATTTTAATTTCAGAACAAAATAGAAAATTTAAACCTCTAATTCATAATTGTGTCGTTTTAATTATTAAATAAGTTATTGTAATAAAAAGTTCTTAGAAACTTGGTAAAACAAAAAAAATAGAAATGTTAGAGAAGAGGATCTCAAAATTGTTTTCAATCACAGTAATCTAGTAAAATTAAAATAACCTATCCTATGTAAGATTAATCTAATAATGAACGGTTATCATAATTGGGTGGTGTAGGTTTCTGTGGGACTATAGCTTGTACATAATTTGTCTGGAACCCTGGATTGTTTTGCGAAGCGGCTGTTGGTTGATAGTATCCTTGTTGCGAAGGAATAGGTTGATTAAGCTGGTGGTGATAATGTTGTAATGGGACTTGTGACGGAACTGAATTTGTTTGAAATTGAGTAGGTGATTGTTGTGGTGGCAAAACTTGAGGATGAGGACGTTGCGCATGTGTAGGAGTCCCCAATGGGTATTGTTGTTGTGATGGAGCTTGATATTGTTGCGGTACGGAAGGTAGTGATGCATAAGCACCTGGTAAAGGTGATGTAGTGTGACTATCGTACGTTGACTGTTGTTGTACAGGAGGCAATGAAGCATAACTGCCTGGTAAATGTGGTGGAATGTGACTATCGTAAGTTGATTTTCGCTGTGCGGGCGGTACCTGTTGTTGAGGCACCGGCTGTGAATATCGAAAATTTGCCTGTGTATGACTAGGTTGTGCTGATGGTTGAGTGGGGGATAAAGGCAGAGTACCATACAAACTTGAAGGTCTTGAGTAGGATTGTTGAGGTTGTTGCTGCGAATGTTGAATAGGTTGATTGGGAGATTGTATTATATGATGATTTTGTTGAGTTGGTGGCAATTGAGGTTGGAATTGTCCATTATAAGGCTGACTTTGAGATATTTGTGTTGCGGGTGCTTGAATAGGTGGTTGTTGATGAGGTTGAAATGGAGCATAAGCGTTACTTTGTTGATTATATCCTGTTGGTAATGGAGGTAGAGGTGGAGCTTGGGTTTTTGGTGGTGGTACCGGCTGCGCAGAATATGCAGATAAAGGTTGTGAAGAGGGCTGTAAAGGAATTTGTGAAGGAGGTCGTTGAGGTGATGGTGCCGCATAATATGAAGTCGGCGACTCAGGTGCCGATGGTCTTGGGGGAGCCGATGGACTACCGTAAGATTGTGCAAGTGCAGAAGGATACGAATCTTGGCGCATATGTGCATACGGAAGAGCTGAAGATACAGTATGTGCACTCTGAATTGTAGAAGAATTGTTCGTGTTTACTTCCCGATTAATGGAACCAGCATATGTACTGGTTCCTTGGACCCCAGAGTTAAGTGACAATTTACTTATTTCCTCAGTTAAATGTGTAGGGTCATACAAGTTATTTCCAGCATTAGAGGAAACAGTGCTAGACGTATTCAATTTGTTCAACTGATCTTTCAATCTTTGTTGAACTTGAACTTGTATGGATTGTGCCAGTTCAAATCGTTCTTGTTCTCGAGATTTTACAAATTTTTGTACAGTTTTTTCAAGATTCTCAATCAGATCAGTAAGATCAATATAAAAATTGATGCCCTTTCTGCAAATATTGTTTTTAATTAATATTGGAAATTAAAGATTCCTAATAATAAAATATCAGCATACCTTAATCCGTCTTTTACTTCCATGTAGCTATCCTTCGCCTTTCGAAACCTCTCACAAACGTCTTTTCTTTTGCGTTCTATCAGATCCCATCGCTCTTGTAACATTCTTGCTTCTTCTCCTTCCATTAAACTTTTGTACAACACAGTCAACTCCTGTAACAAAGCTTGTTGATGATGAATGCTAGCCGTGATACGATTCCGATAAGGTGAAAACTTTTCAAGTTCAGTTGCAAACAGTTGTGGTTCAATATTTTGTGTCTTCTTATTTAGAATGAGAAGGTGTGATATATCGTCTTGATGTGTCTACAGGAAAAAATAATTAATATAGATATAATTAAGATTTAACATTCAAATAACATTTTAATACCTTATCTTTCAAGTCGTTTAAAGTATCCATTCTTTCCTTTCTGACTTTATACAAATTACTTAGGCATTCATCGATTTTGTTGACCTTGAAAGAAGTTTCGCTCTCTGCTTGTGGCGCACCTACATCCAAAAGACTTTCACCAACGCTCGAACTAGAACTGCCTACTTCTCTAATGTTACTAGAAGATAACGCTTCAGCAAAGATCTTTTCCAATTCATCACTATTTTCGCTGTCACGCAACATTGTAATATCAGACATCGCCAGATCAAATCTTTGAAATACATCTCTATCAGAATTGTTGGCTTTCTCAAGCGCATCGAGGTGACTAAGTAGGTCCTGATGAAAAATTGTAGTGTGCGGTGACGGTGAACCTTGATTCCACGAATCTCCATATTTTGTCTAAGTTTTAAGACAAATAAAAGCTTTACATTAATAAGAATCCTTATATAAACACGTAAATTATTAATTTAATAAATAGTCTTACTTTCATGGCTTCATATTCTCGCTGCTCAGTATCTAACAGTTGAGATATCTGATCCAATACTTCTTTCGATCGACCTTTCAAACTATTCAATGTCATTAATAAATCTTTAATAGTACCCTTTTGCTCTTCATCCTTAATTAATTTAGCCCACTGTTTGACTTCTGAAGTAGGAGTCGCAAGTTCGTTGAAAGATCTGAGATCGTTGTTACGAAATTTTGACAAGGCACCTGGCAACTTCATATATTCCAATGCAGCTTCCATTTCTCCATTTGCTAGATCGCATCTTTCGGTCTCACTGCGAACTATCTTGGCCTTCTCTTCGGAGTATAAGGATGCTGACTCATGAACTGATAATGGGATTAAACGCTGAAAAATATCGGGACCTATGACCCTTTGAATCTCGTTAGGTAGGTAAAGGTCTTGTATGGGTATAGGTTTTGCCAAAATTAACTTGTCAATTGGTGAAATGACATTTTCCTGCGGGACGACATCGTGATATACTATGTCATTATCCCGTGTTGCAGAGTTTTTTTTCTCCGTGATAAGAGCAAAATTTGACTTAGTAAGATCTTGCAAAGATGTCGCAGCGTCAGGGGGAAGAGTTTGCGTTGTATTCGGTGAAAAGGCTGACACAAAGCTATTAGATAGTTTATTAGCCTCCTTGGCCAGGGTTTCTGCAATGTTAAGTCGACCAACACATTCGCCGTATTTAACTTCCGCTTCGCAGGCCAAAGATTTTTGATATTGAGAAATTGATGCAAAATATTTGTGCTTGATCTGAAATAACATCAAATGTTAAATTTCGATATTAAATGAAAATTTGAAAGATGCAAAGTCATACCTGACAGACTGTCTGCCAACTACGGTCAAATACGCTTCTCGAGATCAGATCCGACATATTCTCAACAATATTTCCGTATGACCAGCCAACTTGCGCCGCTATCTTAGCTATCAATGCAGGTTTATTTTTAGCCCCTAGACTCTGTTCAAGGAAGCATTCTTGGGCTTGCGTTAGCATTAGTTGAGAAAGCAATTTTACAGTATCTCGACTTAAATCGGTTGAAGGAGCATGCAAGAAATTATCATTAATGTAATTGTACATCCCAGCAGAAGCTTGGAAAAAATTAAATGCGCGTTTTAGGCCCTCGGGTTCTGACCGATTTTGTGATGTTGCAATAGCAGACAGGACGGACGCAATATTGAATATTGTACTCGCTTTTTCATATGCGAGTGAATACTGTGAGGTTGTCTTATGCGTGAAGGCATCGTACCTTGAAAGTAACGTTTGTAAGGTAAAGTCGAATGCAGGTAATAAAACAAACTTATGGTGAATTAATAAATATACCACCAACCATGTAAAAGAAATTTTAATATTATTTTCATCAACTGGAAATCTTAAGTCAAGCAATTCAAGTTGTCCATAATATCGATACAATAAATCTCTGCCTGTAATATCTTTACCGGCACCTCTCATGTCTTGTCTTAAGCGGTGAATTGAATTTGCTTCGTCAGCATACTTCTCGGGATCTTCTTGGTACGTCGTTTGAATATAACGTTTTAGAGGGCTTGCCCAATCAACCTCGTCTGTCTTTTTTGCTGGCACATGAATAGTTGGACTTTGATTCATTTTTTTTTTTAAGGTAATTCGTCGCGAATTTTTTGAAGCAATCCTCTATATTTTCCTGCACGATTCTGGTTATCTGTTATTTCGGGCCAGTATAATTTCTTCAATTTCTAATTTTAGAATTTGGGCAAACTCCGCAATTCAAATATATAACTATGCTAATATTTAAATTTACTTAAATTGTATAATATTTTTCTATTGTATAAACTATTTTATAGATTTAAACATTTGTTTTACATGTAAATTATTACTATAGTTTTAAAATAATAATAATATTTTTTTTAGACAAACTATATCCTTTTTTATTGAGTATTAATAAAAATATATCATGTAAAAGGAAGTTATATCTCTTATATTAAAAAATTTAAAATTATATATAAAGATAATAACATATCGTCTTATCTTAACATCAAAAAAAAAAACAATAATAATATTAAATTATGTATTTTTTTTGAAAGACAAAAGTAATTAAAAATTAAAAATTAAAAATTATTATTTCATATTATATCTTTGGTTTATACAATTATAGGCAAGATAAAATCTAGAATTAATATACAGTGTGTAACAAAACTTTTTGGAATTTTTTATTTATTCATTACTCAAAAACTACTGCATAGAAATTAAT